TGTTCTCTTCGCTCAGGTCAATTTCTGTCGTAATACTTGGCAATAACTGTGGCTCGCCCATGGCATTGTTCACATCTGGACGATCGGTTACTTCATTTATCTCTTCATGTGCCACTGTTGTAATCGTCTCAGTCGCTGGTTGATTCGTAGTCACTTCTTGAGCTTCGTTTTCAATAATCACACTGTCGATGTTTTCTGATGGTTCCACAGTATTTTCAGGAATCAAATCGATGCGTTCGTCAACGGTCGTGTCGTTCGGTAGATCAACGTGAATCGGTTCGTCTTCTTGAGCATCCATTTCGTTGATTTCGTTCAATTCATCGATGGCTAGACTTGCTTCGTCTGTCGTCACTGAGTTGTTCGTTGTTTCTTTGTCCAATTCGTCAATTCCAGTGATGTCTTCACTCACGTCAGTTCCGTTCGTTGTGGTTCGCATTGATACTGTCTCATACACGACATTGTTCTCATCTGGATGATCGATGACTTCATTTATCTCCTGGCTCGATAATTCTTCGATCGCCTCAATTGCTTCGATTTCTGGAGCATCAAATTCGTTGATTTCATCTAATTCATTTATATCTCGATTTGCTTCATTTGTTCCGGTCATTCCATTTGTTGTTCCATCGCTGGTTGTGCCATTTCCAATGTTCTCTTCGCTCAGTTCACTTTCTGTCATAACACTTGGCAATAACTGTGATTCATCCATTGCATTTTTCACCTCTGGACGATCGGTTGCTTCATTTATCTCTTCATGTGCCACTGCTGAAATCGGCTCAGTCGCTGGTTGATTCGTTGTCACTTCCTGAGCTTCGTTTTCATTGATCTCATTTTCGATATTTTCTGACGGTTCCACGATATTTTCAGGAATCAAATCGATGCGTTCGTCAACGATCATGTCGTTTGGTAGATCAATGTGAATCGGTTCGTTTTCTTGGGTATCCATTTCGTTGATTTCGTTCAATTCACCGGTGGCTGGACTTGCTTCGTCTGTCGTCATTGATTCGTTCGTTGTTCCTTTGTTCGATGCGTCATTCCCTGTGTTGTCTTCACTCACGTCAATTCCGTTGTTTGTGGTTGGCATTGATTCTGTCTCATCCATGGCCCTATCCGATTCCGTGCGATTGACGAGTACACAAACCTCTTCGTTTGTCTTCGGATCGATCGCTTGCTGATTCGATATGATGATTGTCATATAAATAGCGCTCCCATCTCCTCGTCCATTGCTTTGTGTTATTTTGTAAGTTGATTGAGCAGTGCAAAGCTCCGACCGATGACAGCTACACGATCCTTTGATCACAGTCTCACCGCTTGCATCGGTGGTCGTCTTGTTGGTGTTCAAATAGTGATTTGTCGGATCATTTCGGCCGCGAACTCCAATAAATTGCTCTTTCAACTTGGTTTTAGTGAGATATAGATCGTACGCTTTAGTGACCCTATGGAAAGAAGAGCATGAAAACAATTGTTTTAGTCAAATGGTCAAACATTAGCGTTGAAAAGCACAATCGAAAAAGTCAAAATTTAAGAATAAATTTAACTTACCAGTCATTCGTTGCTCGCAAAAAGTATTGCTTGAAATTCTCGTCAAACGACATTGCGCTGCATTGGAATGCATTTTCCACAAATCGTAGCGATTCCTGCGTTGTACCTAGGATATTAATCCAATAGTTGTCAAGGACGTTCTCCCAATTTTCACCCATTTTCCCTGAAAATACACAAACATTCACGGCATTCGATTAGATTTCGCTGCAAAGTTTTTATGTCTGAGGCAGATCAAACACTGAATGAAATGACTCAATTTGTACACAAATCACAAAAATCAGTCGAAATGAATCAATGACCCCTTTAAAAAAATTCGTTCTTCTGTCGAATATCCTATTTTAGGTCACTATTTTTTTGCAAAAACAAAAACTCGCAGTTTACACACAAACAAAAATCCATTGGCCCAAATAGACCGTAAAATGCATATGTATGAGTATTGTATGCCTACGTTTCGCATTCCGAGAATAGACTTGACTATTTTGCTCACACTATGCGTATACGTTTTAGGGCTATAGCGCGATATTGACTATATTCTCTTCTTCATGGCATGTAAGACAACATTTGTATGCGTGTGTATTAAACAGATGACGCTATTTGTACACAATGAAAGAAGACACCGAACCGACAAAAAATACAGTAGCATCCGATCTCGCGAAAAACATTTCATGATTTTGTATTATTTCTGTGGCAAAGTTCCATTGTAAAATGATAATTCCATTGCTTACCCAAATACACAAATCTGTCGTCCTTTTCTCTCTGTCTCTTACTGTTTTTCTAGCGGATCGATTGCACACGGCAGCATACAGTTTGCACTTTATATTTCGTTGATATTTTCGCCGAATTTCGACGAATGACTATTATGCGATGTAACACCAATTATCTTCTTCGATTTCACTTACGATTCTATGGATTTTTCAGGATTTTTCAAATATGAAAACATTCACAGAGCGGGTTGTGTTTGATGCACAAAAATAAACAGAAATGCTGCTTTGTCACGTAAACGTCAATCGCACCTTGACAAAGTACTCAACAGTCATTGTTTCGCTGATATGGAGAGTAAGCCCATTACGCTTGAGTACATTCGCGCGCCACTTTTGAATGTGAACCGATTCACCCCATTTTTATCGGATTTTCTACGCTGAATTTGGAAATGGTATTCAGTTACGTCAGAAAAAGTTTCAAGTATTTAATCGAAAATTCAGGGAGGCAATAACTGGGTTACTTCTTGTTTTAGCTTCATAATTTCAGTAAAAACAATGTGAATGACACCATAAGCGTTTTGCTATCGTTTCAAAATTGACCACACGCCAAAAGGGATTACCAGCCTAATGATTAATTTTAACGCGTTGTAGTCAAACATTTCCCTAATCAATTGCGTGTCCAAATTTGGTGTAGTTCTTGCAGATTGGACGCTTCTCCACTTGATCAACTTACCTTTGTGCCATAACAGCCATTTCTAGACGTTTTTTACTTACCTTAATATAATTGACTGAAAAATTCATAGAAAAACATTCTAATCATGGTAAGCATACAAATTAAAATGCCACAGGAGATGTAATTTTGAATGATCATGATTTAATAACAGGTATTGTTATGGCATTTTTCATCGCTAAAATATCTTCATAGGTTGAGAAAGATAGTATCGCCCGGATCAGATGTGATCGATTTGTTATTTAACACTTCGGCACACATACTGGTAGCTCAAACAAAACAATTGGATAAAGGCTTTGTCTGTGATTCACATTTTAAAGTCTACAATGTACATAAACCGTATTCAGTTTGCAGCAGATTAAACGGTGAGCTTGAAAAAATCATAGAATGTAAAAATTCTATGAAAAATTGATGTTTTGCACTACAATGCATTACATTTTTTCCGATTAAGTAAGAAAAGATAGGGAAAGAAAGATGTTGCTTTGATTAAGAGAGATTGAATTGAATGAATTTATTATGAGTGTCACCTATTTATTAAAATGTTTGATTGTATTCATAATCAACCGAGAACAATCAACCTCTCAATTTCGGTTTATTTCTCCTTCTCTTCCGCTCTTTTTTTTTGGACTCTCAAGTTCTTCTTCTCTTACTCTTTTTCCCTCTCTCTCTCTCTTTCTCGCATTGTCACTCTATCATTCCCTCTCTCTCTCTCTCTCTCTCTCTCTCTCTCTTACACACACAAACATTCTCTTTCTATCACGCTCGCTCTAACTCTTTCTCCATCCTCATTCCATTACCCACAAACTCAAAAAATTATATGAAGTGACTCAAATGAACCGTACTCTGAAATGCACTCTTCTATTTCACCTTTACATTCCCTATAAACCATTAAAAAATAACTCATAAAAAATGTACAATTTTCAATGCTCACAAAATGCCCCATTTGAACTATGCCGCCGTATCACAATTCAAAGTATTTCACTTGGTGTCAAATGACCATTGTGCTTCATAAGAGAGATAAAGACACAAAACAACATCGGCGTAACGTCATTTCACGATTAAACCGCAGTGCTGTTTCTCGACGGCTGACAATGAACAAAACATTTCTCTTCTTCTTTATTCAACGACATACTGAGCCAATTCGACGCAAACTAAACATAGAAAATTCATGCCATTCGATCAAACTTTATTTATTTATTTGAAATACACACACATAGACACACAATCAGCCACGAAAATAGCAATCAATGACAAGTGGACTGAGAACGGTGTATTTAAATGTCATAGGTTTTCACAGTGTATTGGAATTTGCTGTAGATTCACAGAGAGAATTCACGTTCGGTACTCAATCCAAATGTGTGTAATCCGCTTAGAAACAGTTTTCCATTGTTCAAACAAAAAACTTTTCAATTGTTCAAATCAAAAAAACATCTGTGATTTTTTTAAACAAATTATTTTTTAAACACAAAAACCGAGCAAACAAACTGTTTGATTAAAATGAGTGAATTTGTGTGAAAAGGAGCGCAAAAAAAACCTTTGAATAAAGTATGAAATGTAGCGACGGAGAATTCTGTGTGCGTGTGTCAGAATCGAATAAGAGCTGTGCCGTTGTCACATATACACGAGTGTAGCCTATGTAAAACAGCTGATCAGAGGCAATGTGCGCATTAGAAATAACCGTGTGGAATGGCAAATACACACAGAAGCGTGTGTAGAAGGTTTACGTCATTTCCAACACGTGTATACAATGTTTGTGTATGCGCGCTCTCAAGCTATGTGCTGTGATATGGCCGTTGGGTGTGTGCGTTGCATAAATCGATTGACACCATGGATGTTGGCTGCAAAATGAACAGTGTACGTCAATGTGGATACATGTCGCCTATGTATTTCCACTTGAATGTGCGCGTATTCTATTCTCTGCTCTCGTTCATCAACAGTGTAACATAGGGCGATAGAACCTTCGCACGCGTTCTACTCTCACACATACACTCCTCTATTAAGTAAGAGCAAAAAAAAGAATGAAGAAAAAAAAGCATGACATTTAGTGATGAAACTCGTGAAGTGACGTGCCAGTTCAGTTGTTTACGCGCTCAAAAATTGTTCGGCAAATAAAAAAACCAAATTCATTTTTGGTGTTGATTTGTCTCTCTCATTCGGTTGATAGCATTTCTATTTCTTTTCAAATTGATAAATCGTTTGTTGTGTTCAACTGGCAACAACACATACACATATCGAATAAAATTGAACCTACGAAAAGACATAAACGATTGACTTGGTTCATTTGTTAGCTATAAGTTGTATCGACCGAACGAGAAGAGACAGCGAACAAAAAACAAGTGTTCGAATAAAAAATATTTAGCAAAATTTCGTGTGATTGTGTTCATTAAAATAAGAAACAAATTATTTGCAATTGTTTCAAAATATCTATCATCAGTTGTTGCTGTTGTTGTTTGCTTCAGAGAAGGTTTATTCAAGGTCAATTCATTTGTGCCGGCTATACAATGGTAATGAAATTTATATTCAATTCAACATTCTTTTCTACGGTCAATTTGGCGTTTTTCTTGTTGTTGTTGGTGTTCAATGTGTGTGTGAGTTTGTATTAAATTTTTCAGTGAGCGAGAGACATAAATTGGCACAATCGTGATGGGACGAACCATATGCAAATGATTGTTGTGTGCGTGAAATACCATGAGAACTTTTTTGGTGACACAATGTGACGTATGGTGCCACATAACAACCAGTGTAAACAGCGGATATTTCTCATTTAGAGCAATGTATGGATACGATGTGTTTACATTTCAATTAGATAGAACGTGAAGAATTTTGGTTGGAACAATTGAATGTCAGTGAGAAAAATCGCTTGTTTGCGTCAATTGGACAATTAATCGATTCGATAAGTGTTTATCAATGATTTTGATTATATAAACCGTTGTATCCGATCTGATAACGTGAAATAAAAATGATGCCAATGTTTACACAGTGGTTTTGGCTTTAATTGACGTGCGAACAGTAGCGAAAGACAGAATGGGAGATTGATAAATAGATAGCCAGAGATAGAGATAGTAAATGGGAGAGGGAGAGAGAGATTGACATAGAGACAGTGAGATAGAACGAGAGATAGAGAGAAAGAGAGTGAGAAGAAAGAGAGAGATAACAAGGAAAAGAGAGATAAAGTGCAATAAAAAGACACAGGGAACAGTGCAACAGAGAGATAATATGAGTGTGTGTGTGTGTGTGTGAGAGAGAGAGATAGAGAGAGAGAGTAGAGAGAGAGAGGGAGAGAGAGAGAGGAAGAGAGATAAGAAGAGAGAAAGAGTTGAAGATTGACAGTGAGAAAGTTTGAAATAGAATCTCCGCAAAATGAAGTCAATAAAGAAAACCACCATGGTGCCAAACTTTTTTCTCACTGGAATTTAGATCAAAGAATGTCACGGAATTTCAAATTTCCATCGATTGTTGGTGTCATTGCTAGGCATTTCAAAGACATTCAATGTATTTTCAAAAAACTCCATTTATTATTAATTTTGAAAGTTATTCTCTGCATATTATTCTGCTGTGCAAGCATTCCAACAAGTTTCCAAGGCAATAAACTCAACTGTGACCCATTTTAAAGCGATAAAATTATTATTATTATTTATTCAAAAATGTGCACAAATCAAGTTTCTTCTCTTGTTTTTAGCGCGTTTTATCAATGATTTCCTTCTCAAATCTCATTTGTGTATGTACAATGCCTCACTTATTTGTATGACTTATCATGTTTTACAACAAATGCGTTGTTTATACATTAAGACTCATACGATTGTTATTCTCTGCATTCAAAGCAATTTCAGTTTTTGTTTATTTTCGATTATCTTTTTCATTCTCCTTTGCTGCTCAAAGTACTGGAACCCACTGCCTTTCATTGAAACTTTTTCGTCGCCGCCCATTTCAAATAGTTTCATATCTTATTCCGTTGTCACGTGCGAGCAAAAAAACTTCCTGGGCTTTTGTACAATTAAAACCGTTTGACATTGAATTGTTCATTATGACAGCGACGTGTTCTAATAGAACGCATCGAATTTCAAACGGATCACATAACACTCAGCTACTCGTGTACCCACTTGTTGCGCAATTCAATTGGTTTCTGTCAACGTCATTATAATGCGCTCTTAAAATCGAAAAAATGCTGACAATTTATCAATTTATGTGTTTTTCCTTTATTGAAGTCACAGCAGACACCGTTTTTTCTAGGCCATTAAATTCAAATTTATCGCCAGCGATGTGAAACGGTTGGCTCGCTCAACATAAATATTATTGCAATGTTAACAAGTGTTTTATGTCGGTTGCATGATAGATTTTATTTTGGTGCAAAAAAGAGAAAGGCTAGTTCATCGACCGAGCAACTCGCCGAGTTGGTTTGAATTGATCTTTAAAAATAGATTCGGGAATGTTTGAGACCGTTTTGTTTGAACAAATTAGATGAGGTAAACAAGTTTTTGACGGAAAAGTATTGAAAACAGTTCATTTCGGTCGATTTTAGAGTGCAAACACACAAAATGCTATCGCCAAACGAAACAATCATTGTTATTAAGTCGAAGGCTTGCCATGTTTTGTCAGTCATTTAATTGAATTGAAGTCACAATTTTTCCATTCATAATCGGTGAATTTTGAACAACAAGTGAGGTTAAATGTCAATTTAATGTGAGGGAAAGAGACAAAGGGTGAAAGAGAGATGTTCGAGTGACGGGAACTCATAGAGACGACGAGCGATAGGGACAGCAAGACTGTAGATTGAAGATGACGACGCGAGTAAATATTGTTTTGACTTTTGTTGAGCGATCTCTGCGGGAGCATCTCTGTTGATAAGAGAATCAAGTGGAGATTTTTAATTGGAATTTGTGACGAATTATTTATGGAATGGTAAATAAAAAATTAAATGAAATCACTTTCGAAATTAGTTCAAAATTGGTTGAAATTGTACACTTTGCGGATGAACGTTTGCTTGACTGGTAATGATTACCGTAAAAGGTGAAAATTGAAACAAAATCTCGTGATACAATCAGCAAAAAAAACAAGGTCGCCTGACAAACAGAGTGTCTTAACAAACTGAGTGAGTCGTCTCACAGAGAAGACTACGTACTTCCAATACTTAGCTGCCGATAAGTCACACACGACGATTGCGCGATCGAAAAAACACCATCCACATTCTCTATCATAAACAAATTGTTTCACCAAAGCCATCGCTGCCAAATATTTTTCCTAGAAAAATTCCTTTCTCGCAGCGATTCACATCAAGAAACAATCTGATTAGGTTTTCTTTGGTTATTAAATGAATGTAAACAACAAAACATGTAGCTCTAAACAAGCTGATGTTTTGATTATGAAAATTGTTGTGCGTCACACAACCACGATAAGATTGCTACTGTCGTCTGAGTTCATCACATTTTTTTTGCGAGTTTGATAATTTTTTTCACCCACAAAAATAGAAAATCTTGGTGAAAACAATCTCACGCACACGTTGATTTTCCATTTGTATGATCGACATCACTAAAATAGCAAGCCGAATGGAGAGAAACATATAGCCGGAGTTTTTTTGGTCATACAACCAAATCACGAATCGTGTATTATCACATTTTTTCTTGTTGTTGTCGGTGTCGTTTCTATTAGCCTTTGCTATAATCATTGAAGCGCGTAACGTCAGTCAAACCAGTCAAGCAAACAACATTTATTCAATTTGCCAGTAGATTTGAAAACACTGTGAGAGAAGACGAACACACTTTGGAATAGACATTATATAATTTTTCATTCATCGTTCTCTATTTTCATTTGAAGTATAGAGAGAATACGGATCTTTTTAAGTGAAAAAAATACCAAATTCGGATTGAATTACGTGCAAAAGGAAACGAGATAAAAAAATGACGACATTAGCTCAAGTAAATATTTCTAGTATTTTTTGTTCCAATTTGCAGGCGATAAAACAGTAAAACGAGTCAAGTTTTTTTTGTTGATATAAAACAAGCGGATTTGGTCACGGAAAAAGAGACATATTTTATAGAAAAAAGAAAGAATTTGGTAATATAAAGTTGGAAAAGTGTGATTATGACAAATATTGTTGTTGGTCTTACACGGAAAAAATTGAACAAAAAAAGTCGGCAAATACTCAAAGAAATACCATTTTTTACATTGAATAAAAGCGAAGAGTTGGAAAAAAATAAAATAAAAGAACAACAAACATGGGCTTTGAATTAAGAAAAATGCCGAAAAAGTTAAAATAAAAATTCGAACACCTGAAGTTCGTGAGAATTCAGGGAGCCATGTGTAAAGCATGCTTTGTATGCGACAACATAGCATTGGTCACTCGATATTTTGAATAAGAAGAGAGAATTATGGAGTTATGAATGACCTCTTTCACTCTCACAGTCTCGCACACAATCAGTGCGGAAACGATTGTTATGTCGTTTTATATAAAGTTGCACACTCAACTGTCGTATGTAGCGCACAATCTATCTGAATTCACCGACGACTGACGTTAGCGTCAAGCGAAAGCATAATGAATCAAAACAAAAATTCCAAAGTAAAAAAATTGATTTCTTTTAAGTTATAAAAAAATTGAAAAATAATGTTAATTAAAAAATCGAAAAAATAAAAGTTTCAACCAAATTCGACCGTAGGAAATTTCAATAAATTCTTGAAAATTGTTAATAAATAAAAATAAAATGAAAAAAGCATTGTAAATAATATGAATTTAATTCAATCGTTTGTTTGTGTTTTTACAGGGTCCAATACATATAAAACGAGCGACGACTGAGAAGTTGCGTGAGACTTTCTTAAAATATGCATCACACCAACAGAATGGCGAATTTTACATGACCACGGAGGATTTCATTCGAGGCTATCTGAGGCTATTTCCGGAAGCAAATTATAATAAGGTAAATATTAGCCTTGACACCGGTACAACCAAATGCTTGAGTATTAAAATATATTGTAGTTCAGCATTAGAATATGGTATTTTTAAATACCAAATGACCGAATGTTTACGTCACATTAGTATAAAGCATGCGGTTGTTCTTTTTTTCATTGCCAAAAAAGCTAATTTTTTCCGTCTATTCTAATAGGATTCAGTGAATTTGATGGGCAGCATAGCTGACACGAGTAAGGATGGATTGATATCATTTGCAGAGTTTCAGGCATTCGAAGGATTGCTTTGTACACCAGACGCACTCTATAAAACCGCTTTTCAGCTATTCGACACAAATGGCAACGGAACCGTCAATTACAATGAATTCTGTGAAATTATCAAAAAGACGGAATTGCATGCCAAAATTCCATTCCATTTGGATGGGCCATTCGTACAAAGATATTTTGGAAAAGTACGTCATGATTGTAAATTTGAGTTTTGCTTTGAGTACTTCAAGCGTTAATTTTATTTTGTTTTCTTCGAATTAGGACAAAAAACGGGCCATCAACTATGCTGAGTTCTCGCAATTGCTGCACGATTTTCACGAGGAGCACGCCAAAGAAGCATTTAAAAGCAAAGATCCAAATGGCACCGGCTATATTTCACCGATGGATTTTCTGGATATTATGGTCAGCGTGAAGAGCCATTTGCTCACACACGATGTTAAAGACAATTTAGTGGCTGTAAGTAGTGCTAAAAGTATCACAATTGAACTATGGAAATTAGAAGGAAATTGGTTAACACCAAATTATTTATAACGGAAACCATTTGGTATGGACCAATTTTTTTCGAATTTAAGAGTCCAATTTTACTAGAAATTCCATGACAAAAATGGATTTTCGAAGTAAGTAAAAAAGAAGTCTAATCCAGCTTTCTTTCTCATCAAATTCAGGTTACCGAAGGACGTAAAGTGAGCTTCGCTTATTTTATGGCCTTTAATTCGTTATTAAATAATATGGAGTTAATCAAACGTGTTTATTTGAATGCAACCGGTGGCAGCCGCTTAGAACCAATTACAAAAGACGAGTTACTGTTATCGGCACAGCTCATGAGTCAAATTACGCCGCTTGAAATTGACATTTTATATCAATTGGCTGGAGTGCTTCATCAGCCGGGGTAGGTGTCAATTTTGGTGTCTCAAAAATCTTTGTTTCTTTTTTTACCCAAAGAATAAGTAAACTGGACCCTTTCTGATTTTTCTGCAATTTGTTGTTGTAACGACACAGTTTACTTGTTCTACCATATAGTTTCATTTTCTTTTATGTGAAGAAAAAATTGTTTTAACAATTTTAATTATGTTTCTTCCAATTTCCAATTATTTTTTTTTTTGTCGCAAGCCCGGACCTGTAAGATTTAACCTAATAGTCAACTTCTAATTTATCTTTCATTCATTCGTTTGTCCAACATTGTTTGACATTTTTAGACAAATGTCCATAAAAATCGCCTAACAATTTGCTTGAACAGAACGATGAGCGATTTTCGTGGAAAGTTGATAAATTGGTTGAGTTCATTCACCTCTCATTTTTCCCTTGCATTTTTTTCACTCTAACAGGCGACTATTGTATAGTGATTTAAATAATATTGCCCCAGAGCATTATACGAAAAGCATTACAGCACGGTTGACGGACATTCAAGCAGTATCCAGCCCAGACGATCGAGGCATTTTTATTCAAGTGCTGGAAAGTGCATACAGATTCACATTGGGGTCGTTTGCTGGAGGTAAGGAATAAGGAAATACAACTGAAAAAGAGTCCAAGTGAACTCGAACCCTTTTCACAATAATTAATTTTTCATATTTTTCAGCGGTTGGTGCGACGGCCGTGTATCCGATCGATTTGGTGAAAACTCGTATGCAAAATCAAAGAACCGGATCACTGGTCGGCGAAGTGGCATATCGTAATTCAATCGATTGCTTCAAAAAAGTCATCCGTCACGAAGGTGTGCTTGGACTATACCGTGGTTTGGTGCCGCAATTAATCGGTGTTGCACCCGAAAAAGCAATAAAATTAACGGTCAACGATTTGGTCAGGGACAAATTAACGCCAAAAGATGGTGTGTTACCATATTATTATGAATGTATCGCTGGTGCATGCGTAAGTATCACAATAATCACCAAAGCAAATTTTTCCAAATTTTTTTTTTAATTGTATGATTTCGATTATAGGCTGGCGCATCACAAGTTGTGTTCACGAATCCCCTGGAAATTGTAAAAATTCGATTGCAAGTGGCCGGAGAGATAGCTGGCGGTGGAAAAGTCCGTGCATGGCAAGTTGTGAAGGAGCTCGGGTTGTTTGGCTTGTACAAAGGTGCACGAGCATGTTTACTCCGTGATGTACCATTTTCAGCTATTTATTTCCCCGCTTATGCACACACGAAAGCAGCGTTTGCCGATGAAGATGGCTACAATCATCCGCTTAGTTTGCTTGCTGCTGGTGCAATTGCAGGTAAAGAGTTCCCGAGATATAAAGTCGCCAAATAGTAGTTTTTGTTGCTATGCAACAGTGATTTAGTACCCATCCTCTATGAATTAATAGCAAATGGCGTTTCTATTCACTGGGAATCAAAGATTGAAATTTTTTCGGTCGAAATCTAATCCAAATTCTCTCTTTAATAGGTATACCTGCCGCATCGCTTGTAACACCTGCCGACGTCATCAAGACGCGATTGCAAGTAGCTGCACGTCAAGGTCAAACGACATACTCGGGTGTGATGGATGCGGCATCGAAAATAATGCGCGAAGAAGGTCCTCGTGCATTCTGGAAAGGAACAATGGCTCGTGTATTCCGTTCATCACCACAATTTGGTGTCACATTGGTCACGTATGAATTGTTGCAACGAATGTTCTACGTTGATTTCGGAGGTTCAAGGCCGAGTGGTTCGGATGTAACGAAAACATCATCAACACTTGACACCACCAAAGTTCAAGTGAATGCCGATCATATCGGCGGTTATCGTGCGGCTGTTCCATTGATTACTGGCATCGAAACCAAATTCGGTTTAAGCTTTCCCAAATTTGCATCAACAATCCAACTAAAATCCACATAAATTTGTGTTGGAAAATCTCAAAACAAAAATTTTATTAATTAAATTGCATTTGAAATTTTTTTTCATTAAAAACAATGATTTTGGACATAAACACGAAAAACAACAACAAATTTGTCTTTTTATTCAGATTATAAACTGTAGTATTTAATTAGCTGTGTAATAAACAGGTGAATTGATGTAAGTTCAATGGCACCATTGTTTACACACACACCATTCTGGTTTCATATTTTGTAATCGATAAAACAAACAGCTGTACGGTTTTGATAAATATCTTAATGATTTTATTGAGATACTATTGAAAGTTAGCGGCTTGTCAATTCTCATTTAAAACAATGGCCTTTTGGTTGCCAATTTTATCGGTAAATAGTGCCAGACCACTGGGTCCTAACAATCGAAGCAATAGTCCATGCTCTGATTTTGTGTGTGCATCAATGACAAAATATCAAGGTAAGTTTTATTACAATCTAAAATTGTAAAAAATACAGCTGTTCAGTCCATCGCAACACACGAATTGTATTATCAAAAGTCTTGCGGATTGAAGTCATATCGTCGATTTATTCATACCATAAAAATAAATTGCACGCAATTGATATTAGGGTGGCGTAAAAAAAGTTTTTATTTTTTAAAATTCCAGATCGGTTTCACTGTATTCAGGGCCTAAAAATACGTCGTGCTTTTATCTTTTTCTAATTCAAATTTTTCACACATAATTTGTAGTATTATTTTTAAACATCGACCTGGAATATTGAAAAAAGAACAAACGATTGCGCCACCCTATTGTACATTGATACCACATTGCTTTAATCAACACAACTAAATGAAGTGATTGTCGTTAATTTTGATTTTGTAATTGCTCACAGGTCTTGATTCAACTGCTTTACTTGACATATGTTCAAGTAGCCTTCGTTGAGTACAGATATTTTTTCATAATTTTTTCTCAAAAAATATTTTTCTTTTTAAATCGCGTATATTCACGAGATAGATGAAGAAAATAACAAAATAAAGTGCTAAAGAGACAATGAGTGCATTCAATCAAACATTTTTACTTCCACAATGTGCAGCGCGAAGTGTTGGTCCAGCAAATCAACTCTTTATTCAATTAATTCAAGCGTTAATAACGGCACATTGTACCATACCCCAGCCAGACATTTGGCCAATCGATTATGGTCCCACTGCATGTGGTAAAAAGTCATTTTGTGAACAACCGCTATTTGTGTAAGAGTGAAAGAAAGAAAGAAGATATTTAAGACACCTCCAAATTCCTCCAATATCAATGATGACAGTATCGGGACTCCACACTTTTCTCTTTCGTTCTCATACAAAGAGCAGCACCATAAGATATTTCGGCTTATTAAAAATATTTCCGTATAATGAAAATCTAGTGCAAAATATTCATTGAAACTTCTTTAAAATAGATGGTGAGACGTTTGATTTCGTGGTGGTTGGTGCTGGATCGGCCGGATGTGTGGTTGCGAATCGTTTGAGTGAAAATCCAAAATGGAAGGTTTTATTGGTGGAAGGTGGTGGTGATCCGCCCTTTGAATCGGAAGTGCGTCATTTTTGCTATTCCGTCTTCGTCGCACACTTAATTCATTTTAATTCGTCATTTCTTTCCTTCTTTTTTCTTTTATTTTTTCTAATGACGTTTTGCAGGTACCCGCAATGTTTGCCGCAAATCAGCGAACCGAATACGATTGGCAATTTTACGCGGAATCAAATACGGCCTGTAAAGCATTGAATGGCAGTTGTTTTTGGCCACGTGGAAAGTGCTTAGGTGGTTCATCGGCTATAAATCTAATGCTATATGTTCGTGGCAACGATCGTGACTACGATCGATGGGGTGAGATGGGTAACGAAGGATGGGATTACGAAAGTGTTTTACCGTTTTTCAGAAAATCCGAAAACAATCACTTTTCACAATTTGTATACGAACATAATGGGCGATATCACAGTGACGCAGGCCTATTGAACGTTGATTTCTACGGCGAGAGTCCGTTTGCAAAAACGTACATAGATGCTGGAATCGAAGACGGTTACAAATTCATAAGTGACATAAACGCCGATGAATATATTGGATACACAAAAGTGCAAGGCACCTGTTATCAGGGTCGTCGACAAAGTTCGGCCAAAGCATTTTTGGCAACGGCCAAAAATAGAACAAATCTTCACGTGTTGAAATATGGTCTCGTTCAAAAGGTTCTGCTGAACAAAAAGAATCAGGCCTACGGCATTGAGTATGTCTGTGATGGGAAGGTCATAAAAGCCTATGCCAAAAGGGAGGTAATTATGTCGGCTGGTGCAATCATGTCGCCGGTGGTTTTAATGCTGTCTGGCATTGGTCCGAAAAAAGACTTGAAACGTCAAAAAATTCCACTAAAATGTGATTTGCCGGTTGGAAAACACCTTCTCGACCACATTTATACGTTGATTTTCTTTCAATTCGATCCAACACCAAGTGATCCACTCGCTGCTTATGATAACACATACAATTTAGCAATTCAGAACACAGGAGGTTTAACAAATGTTGGTGTTTCAACTTTAAGCGCATTTGTTAATACAGACAAAACGGAGACGCTGCCAAATATTCAACTGATGTACTTTTGGTTCACCAAAAAATCACCGACCATTCCGGCTTACATAAGAACACGTCAATTTAATTATGACATTGCCAAACAATTGACAGATATTAATGAAAATAATGATGTTGGAGCCATTTTGGTGTCATTACTTCATCCGAATTCCACCGGGTCCATACAATTGAACAGTAGCTCGATTAATGACAAACCGAAGATTTATCCAAACTATTTTAGCGTGCCCAGTGACTTGAAAACCATGATCAAAGCTATTCGCCATCAAGTTTCTTACACGATTAGCAAATCTTATTCGGCAAAACACGGAAAGTTTATTATGTTGCCTTTGAAGGAATGTAGTGGGTTTGTGTATGACACCGATGAATATTGGAAGTGCTATATTACTTACATGGCTGCTACTGAATACCATCCCGTTGGCACTTGCAAAATGGGACCAAAGTCAGATCGAGAATCAGTGGTTGATGAACGACTTAGAGTTCATGGCGTACAGGGACTACGAGTCATTGATGCAAGCATGTATGTATCCATATAACTGAAAATTTAGCAATGGTTTGAATTTTTGATAAATTAAATTTATTCTTTTTACAGCATGCCGTATATCACTTCTGGAAATACAAACGCACCGACCATTATGATCGGAGAGAAAGGCGCTGCAATGGTTATCGAAGATAATTTGCCTTTCTCTTCATCTTCGACATCATCGTCCTCTTCTTCTACGTCTTAATCTTCATTGCAAGCAAATATTAGGCGTGCATACATGGTATAGTTTTGAGGAAACTTCTTTTAATACAAAAAAAAATTTGCTTCACACCAATTATAAAAATTATCAAAAGTCATGAGTCACGCCCAATAAAAATGATTTTCATTCATAAAAATGAATAGGTGAAACTTTTATTGAGCTTCATTTGGATTTTATCAACAAAGGCAAGTTTATTGAGAGATGGAGCTGGTATCACTCTTGAATACAAAGATCTAAAAAGGTTGGTTTGCATTCTATGTATTTAGATAATTTTGAGAGTTCCCATGGAACTTGCAAGTTTGCAATTGACACGAGCTTTATTGCGACTTTTAGAAGCCATTTTACTAAAATCATCGTTCATTGAAGTTCAATGATTGAACCCTTTGGGTCCAAGTTTCAAATCTTCCTCACTCGAATGACATACAAACGGTCCATTCAAAGAGACCTTTTGAAACCTCAGTACCTTAAGGAACGTTTAAACATACTATGGATTTCCCCAAGACCATCCAATCAAAATAGATGAGGAAAAAATGTCAGCGGCGAAAACTTCGATAAAAACCAGCAAATATACTATTTTGAAGCGTATTTATTTGACAATATTTTCGAAAAATCAATTCATGTGTGTACAAAATCAGTGTTTAACTGACTCTTTTTCAATGTATAAAAACAATTACTTAATAATCAAAGGTTTTTTACTTTTTTGTTATTTTTTCGTCAATTCGACACTGTTAGACAAAACCAAAATCATGGTTCCAATCGAATGACTCTAAACGCTTGAGTTCGACAAGTTCACAGTCTACTGTATTTCCGGCCCATTTTGTTGCCAAAAAAACTTTCTCATCAACATGCAACGATGTTTTGCCTGCGGCTATCAATTTTGCCCGTTCTTTGCTCCAAATTGATACATCAACCAAATGACAATTAACCTCGTGTTGAAAGCCATACTCAAGTGATCGAACGCCCATACGTTCCAGTTTCACCGAATGACTGACAAATGCCATAATAAGTTCGGGTCCAGCTGAATCGACCAGAAGTTGTTGAAGATTGGTCAATTTTTTGGCCATTGTGTCAAGGTTTATGTCATTCAAAACAAACGGAATGCACAATTCAACCAGATTTCCCAGTGGAAAAAAGAACACCCGATCAAATCGAATCACAGACAACGATTGTGCGTGGAATTTTTCAATTCGTTTTTTCGACGAGATTTTGTTGAGTGTACTCTGATATGCATGATCCACATACAATTGTACATATTTATTGAGTTTGCGTAGTCTCTTCAGTGTTCGTTGAAAAGTCTTCGGTCGATCATATTCATGGACATCACACTGAATGGCCAAATCGGTGATCTTCAGATCCGCATTTTTTGCCCATTTCATCAATAAACACTGATCGTTGGTGGCAAATTTTTGAATATTTTTATTCAATTGAAAAAATGTGGTCAATTCGTTGAGGTGCGTACCCTTGCCGATGCCGCTCAATTCGAAATATTCTAATTTTGAATATTTACGAAGCAACCATTTGTTGTCTACGCCAATCACAGTACCCACTGGTTCATTCACGTTCACACACAATCGCTTCATGTTTTTACACCGCTTCAATAGTTTGTTGTAAATGTCACCGTCAATCGTACAACGGATCAATTCAACAATTTCGACCTTTTTCAACAATTTTTTTAGGCAATCAATTTTTGCGTCGCTCAGCGAAATTGCGTTCAGTAATATGCGATTGACACACTTGAAATCTTTTGATGCAGCAAATTCGAAGGAT